CCAATAGATGATATCAGTTTATTTTCTCAATGAATTCTAAGAATCTTCTTCATGAAATGGTCTCATTGTTTTCTTCTTTTTTTTCTCGCAGAATTTTGAATTGAAAGTTTTATCTTCTTATTGAATATTATTCTGACCATTGGCTATTATTTCATCAGAACGTTACGATATATTTATACTTATCAAGAAAATTTATTCTTTTTTATTATCATTCTGATTCTCAATCTAATATTATTCAACTCATTTTGTTATCATTTTTAAATGTTATCATGATGATTTCCTCCCTGGTGAATGTTTATCTTCAAATGAACCTAATTTATTATTCAATTGAAAACAAGAGGAGAGAGAGGAGAGAAAAAAATGTTTCATCATGATGAATTGAATTGATTAAAATGAATTCATGAGATTGAAAAGCTAACAATCAACTAGATGATTTAATTACCATGTCTTTAAATTAGAGTCAACTTAAATTCATTCATTCATTAATTCATTAGCATCAAGCTGCTTCATCTCCTTTATTGTTATATCATTATTATCACCCTGATTATATTAAGAATATAAAACACCATGGAAAAAGTTCAAGCAGTTGAGAAGAAAAGAATCAGGGAGAAAACTATTTTTTTCTCGAAAATTTAATGAAAAATGAAAGAGATTAAGTATCGAAACTGTTGACCAAAGTTTCGAGTCGAACATTCTCAAGTCTCTCTCTCTCTCTCTCTCTCTGTTTATTCTGTCCATTTAATCCTATTATCGCCATCAGAACTTTTTTATCGTAAGTTTCAAATGTTCATTTTCGTTTGCAGCACAAATAAAATGACCACTATATCCAACTGGTCAACTTGAGATAAGTCTAATTATCTGTTTGAAAAATGGATCTAAAATAATATCAGAATTTAGAATTGACCTCGAATGTCCAATCTATTCAGAACTTTTAAAATAATAATGATGAAAATCGCTGAATAAGAAATGAGTTCATTCATGTGATTTCATGATAACCCGTAATCATCTAACTAGATGATGAATATATAATCTGGTAAATTGAAAAATCTTTTGTTCTAAACAACAAAAAAAAACAAAGTTATGAATTTGGAGTTATAACTTTTTTCCTTTTCACTTTTCCATTTCATGTTTCCCTGAATTCCCATGAACATGAATAATTTACTGTTAACAGATAACAACAATATTGTTTTAATCATGTGTTTACACTGAACCAAAGTTGATTAACAATTGAACAATTAACAATTCTCAACCTTTCTCTCCATGTTAATCAATGATAAATCATCCACCACCTCCCAATGAGTAGCAAGATAGAAACACTTTCAATTGATTTAACTCAGTTTACCGGATTGAACATTGAACAAAAGTTGAGTCATGATTAATTAATTACAATTAATTCTTAAAAAAATAGCTATTAAACATGAATACAATGAGACAGAAAAATAAACATTAGGTTAATTTAGTTAGTTTTACAAAAATTATTTCAATTAATCATCGTTAGCTCATTGAAATTATTAATTATCTCCCATGAAACAAATTATCATGGTGAAATAAATTCTGAATCCTGATTTCTGTGTACATTTAGTTTTCAATCAAAAGTGGGAAAAAAGTTCATAAGATTTACTCATGAGTATCTATTTTTGCCAAAGGTCATGATTGAAAAGTAAAAAATGATCAAAGTTCATGAATTTTGATTGAAAAAATTTGAATAATTCACTGATAAGTACAGGGAGAAATTCATTGATTTCTTGATTGAATCAATTTGTTTTATTCGAAAATTTTTTCTCCTCAAAGTTCTGTCTATTTTCACCATGGTGATGTATACATCTTTTTATTGGAAGACTTTTCCATCTTGACTCGATTATTTTCAAGTCGATGAATTAATTAGTCCTCATGGTGATGTTTCTAATATGATTGATCTGAAAGGGAAACAAATTTTCAATGGAAAATGATTGTTGATCTTAATGAATTGTGATGAACTTTATTCCTCAATCTTACAGATCATTGTTCTGTCATCATCATCATGATACAATAATCTTATAATAGAATCATTGAAGAACCCGTTAACATTGAGAATAGTTTTTTTTCCTCAACAAGAGAAGAAGAAAAAAAGTTCCAACAAAGAAAAAACTATTTCGATAACATCATCAGAAGATAATCAAGATTATCATTAACATCATGATGATTCTGAATCATTTTCATCATGTGCTCTCATCATGAATAAACGGATGAACATGAATCGTTTTCATGATGATATTTATAACTGACTTTGTCTCGTTGGTGTTTTCTGTATCTCTGAATAATTATCATGAATCATAGAAAGGCAATAAAAAATCACGAATGCTGAAAGTTCAGTGGAATAGATGAAGAAACAGCAAATATCCTCATGAAAAATTCTGTAAGAACAGGAGACAAGAATACTCAATGAATATCAAATAGCTTCTTGGGAACTTTCAAAGTCAGAATTTTCATGAACAAGAAAAAAGAATCATCCTAAGTCATCACTTTGATTCTCATCTTCCGGTAAGACTTTGCTCCCTCTCTCTCTCTCTCTCTCTCTCTTTATTATCTTTTCTTCATCTTCATGGTAAATCAGAAAACAATTGTTCATCTTTATTATCCCATTGAATTGACATGATAATATTATCATTGTAAGAACAGAATCAAAATCAGAGCAGTAAAAAAAGTTCATCCTATTTGCTAAAGTCAATCTTTCCAAGTCTAAAGATTTTCCCTTTCCATGATAATATTCATTTCCCTTTGAATATTATCCTAAACCACCAATGATAATACCCACTGGTTACCCTGAGAGATTCAGGATTAACTTAATCCAATATACATGTTGAGTTGAAGAAAAGACAAAAAAAGTTTCATCTTCATGAGCATTTCATGATTATAAAATGATGGTTATTCAAGTTTCTCTTTTCCCTGATGAACTTCCTGCTGTTATGGTGATTAACATGATCATTATTCAATGAAATTCAATGTAACAATTTAACCAAGTGTTACAAGTTTTGTATTACAAATAATCAATGGGCTTGAATTAAATGAGAAAATGAAATTTATTATTTTGTTCAACTTTTTTCTTTCTTCATGAGAGAAAATTAAAAATTCAAAAAATGAATCCAAAAGTTTGAAATGAACAAACAGTCAACTTAATGATAACCATGAGAAAAGTTCATAACAATGGATGAATTCTGATACATATAAGATACTTTTTTATTTGATATTGAATATCTACTGTAGAGACAATTAATACTAATAGAAAGATCAACTTATAACTCGGTGGTAGAAACATTTATTTATTCATGATCAGAATTTGAATTTTTATTATATTGAAATTGTAGAATGAAAAAAAAAGGTTATCATTATACATTTATGAATGAAAGTAACTGATGAACACTTCCGAAACTGGACAATGGACATTATATAATGGCAAGAGAATGGGGAAAGATAAAGATGATGATGAAGATATAATGATGATTAGGGATAAAAAAGTGCTCTAAGAATAAGAAGGCTTGACCATTGAAGCATGCTGGTCATTATTTTCAATCTTCTTTCGTCCACTTCCTCCTCCCATTTTGAGAAAGTCTCTCCAAGACTAATTGACCTCTTAAAGGTAACAAAAGACATTATCTATGAAAGGATAGTAATGACCAGAAGCCAATTAAATAAATATATCATTGACCTTATAATATGCATGGTCAACTCTTGTCCATCCATTAGTTTGGTTCACTATGCTAATGGATTAGCAGTTAAGATTTTAATGGAATTGATTGTTCTTATTGATTGGTTAAAACGTGAAATTTGTAATTGGAATTACCTGAATTTTCACATTTTTCTGCCTGAAAGGTAACATATGATTTGATTCATGGTGAAAATGATAAATTCTTGTATAAGAAAAGTGAACAAGAAGAAGATTTTGATTACATTGGAATCTTTTCTTTCCTTTTTTTTCTGAATTATTGTTATTATTCCCAAGAGGGGTAATGTTCACAAGGAAAATTCATCTGAAGTTGTGAGAATCAATGACCAGAACAAATGACAAGGTTCTAATATACATCATGTATTATCACCGAGAAATTCCTATGATGTTCAGCTAGAGAAAAAGTTAGATTGAAATTCATGAACTTTTATCCAGATCGGAAATGAACTTGAAATAATGTAACAACTGCTGGTCCTCGAAAATTAATACAAGTTCATGAGTAGTTTCAGCTGAGAAGAGGAAAAAATAGTTCTAATGATAAGAGAAAATAATAATAAGACTGAAAAGGTCCATGGGTTTACATTGAGCAGAATGAAAGGAAGAGAAAGAAGAAAAAGTTCTATCACCAAGAATCAGAATCTCAAAAGGAATTGAATCAGTCTGAAGGAAATGAAATGAAACAAAGGAGAAGAAAAAAGTTGGAACCAAGAATTTTATCGATTGTACCTTTGGGATTGGTCATAATTCAATTTGACAGTTTGTTGTCGACACTGTGTCACTAAAGGACTATTTTGATCACGTCGAATAAGTTAGAACAACCTATCAGAAAAGAAAACAAAGAACACAAAAAGTTCGAGTCCAAAGAAGACAAAAGATTCCCAATTCAATCTAACCTATTCATCCACCACCGAAAACCGTTATTAATATCACCAAGTTCAGGGTAGAAAAAAATAACAGGAAACTAACATGAACCAAGAATTGAGATAAAACTGATTTCTAACTGTAATATAATGAACTTTATGATTACATGGTAACCGGTTTATCAACTGAACTCGGGTGAAAAATGAATACTAGAAGATGCTGAGATTAACCTAATAGACTATTAATATCAAGGAAAATCAATCCAACCCAAAGATGAAACTCTAACTTTAACTGGGAGTTTTTTTCTTCCTATTCGTTTACCAAATCATTTCAATGCTCTAATCAAATGATGATGATAATGATATTAACCTTATTGATTATTTAATCTCTAATTGTTACTAATTATTAATCAATTTTCATCTTTTCTCTTCCTCAGATATTTGGATCTAATATTTTTTATCTACAAAGCTTATCACTTGAAAAGAAAAGAGGAAAGTAAAAAATGTAAAGAGGATTTTTACCTGAGTATATTACAACAATCAGCTAATTTAACAAACAATTCAACAATTAACAGTAAACCAATTAAGGTAAGTCACTCATTGATTTGATTGTTTAACAAATTGGTCAACAGATATTATGATTCAATTGCTGATTGAAATTGAAGTAAATTGTTGTTAAAAGATTGGACATTCAATATATTGAATGAATATCAATTTGATATCAAATTGATATTGTCGACAATATTGATTTGCTGATTAAAGAGTTGATTGTGATCGTCAACAATTGATTGACAATTAATGTTTGCAATCAATTGTTGGGATTAGATGAAAATGATTCAATGTAATCATGATAATTATCATGTTAATAGAGTGGAGGACATGATGATAAACATGAATCCAACTCGAGATGGACACAACTGACCACCTCTTTTTTTACCATCATTCTAATTATCATTTGTCTTCCTTAATTCACGAGCTTTAATCAAACATAATTATTGTTTTTCTCTCGTTGATTTAGATGAAATTTAATCATAATTATGATGATTATCATGATATGTCTCATTCATTGATGAAAATAATGTTATCATTATCATGATGATTATGGTTATAATACTGGAAGGTTTTTCTTCCGAGTGAATGATGAAAATTGTTCAGCATGACTAATGTTCAGAACTCTGATGATAATACTAATTATGATAATTGTAATTGTAATGATAATGGATCGAGGGAAAACTGACCATTGGGCAGTAAAACAAAAAGATACATGATTGGTGTACATTCAGATTATCATCATGAAGGTGAAAGATTCAATTGGAAGTTTGTATGTTGAATAAACAGAATGTCATGAAATTTATCTTCATCATTACATCGTTATTATGATAGATTTGTGATAGAGAAAAAAAAATCTTCAGAACTTTTTTTTCCCTCTTCTCTTGATTGTGTGTTATATTCAAAGTAATCATAATCATGCATGAAGATGATGTGAGAGAAAAAACACTTTTCTTCATCATCATCATGATGGATGAATTGACCATTATCGGAAATGGAACCACCATCCATCATCATGTTCATCAGAATCCTGGATTCACTTTGAATAATAAACTAAACTTCACTTGGATAGTAAAAGAGAAAGGGAAAAAATCATCATCATCATGAGTAAAATATACACTTGATATGATGATAATGATGAAGATAATATTAGTTATGGATATTTTTATTTTCCATGGTTCTTGTTTTCATATCTCACCCTGTTAATGATTCAAGATCAATACTGATAATATCATGAATTCAGATTCTATTAATAAAAAGTAAACAACAGAGTGAGTAGAGTAAATTTTACATTGGAAGATAAAACAAAATCTCAGAAAATTTCATCATGATTGATATACAATTTCCTATTCTTCAACCCATCCATTTATCCACACAACCCACCCACACATATATACACACACACACATACCCTCTCATCTTAATACCTTGATTTTATCATGAGGATTAGTTGTTGTCACTCTTATTGTTTCAAACTTCATTGATAAATCACCGATAACAATAAAACTTTTATCCTGGTGACCTACATTTCCAACCAGTCACTTTGTAGTGAAGACAATTACTTTGTATTATCAGCTGATTGTTTTCACTTGAACCAGGAAGTAGGAAAAATATATATCATTAACATCATCATCATCATCATCATCATCATCATCAGGATCATAATGAACTCTCAATTAATAAGATTAAGATGATGAGGATGAAAAGAATTGCTTTAAATAAAGATTCTTTCACTTGATAACCATTACACCTTATTAACAACAGTTTAATACCATGTAATAAAGTATCATGATGATGAGGATGATGAGGAAACAATGGTTACCATGATACAATGTTTTAATGATTAGATGGCATGATAATCATCATCATCTCTCATCATTAATTGAAGATTGTAATCAATTTGGATTCCATGTTAAATAATGAGATCGGTTTCTTGTCTCACTCTCTATCTCCTGTTATTGATGATCAATTGAATGAAAATTGAATGTGTATCTAACTGAATATATTTCACAACTCCCACTCCACCCAATCTCATCTCATAGATCACCTTTACTCACAAGGGTGTGTACACCTTTGTATATGTATTTTGTATCAATAGTTAGTTAGAATCTTTTATTTTCTCATTGAAAGTAAAAGCCAGTTGATTGAGTTCATGATATAATATCAATGGAAAGAAAATAAATATACAGTGAGAGAGAGAGAGAGAAGAGAATCACTGATTCAATTCTGAACTGAATTGGAAGATAAACCTTGAGAAATAGGATAAAGAATGAAAAAAGACGAAAAAAAGAAGAAAAGAAGAAGAAGATGATGACGAGGAAGATGAAGATGATAAAGAAAAGGAAGTGAATGAGATGGATAAAGTTGACTGACTGAAAAAACATCGATAGTATTTTTCTAGCTTCTTTTCATGGTGAAGGTTTTTTACCTTTTCCGCCGTTTGATTTGGAGGAGGAATTTTTTTCTAAGAGAATCTAAGGTTCTGATGAATTGATGGTAAACGATTCTTACCTTTAACCTTCATTTCTCTCTTTCTCTCTCTCTCTCTTTCATCTTCATCTGATAGAATCTTTTCCACAGACTTTGTCTTCATTCTCAATTGATACAACAATCAATAAGCATCATCATCAGAAAGAGAAATCATTATTTTCCAATCCTTCGAACCTTTTTTTCTTCTTCTGCTAAATAAACTTAAACAATCTTTGGCATCTTCATCTTTATCTTCATCTCTCTCATCCCCATCTTCTTCTAATTCTAGTAGAAGATCATCATTCCACCTTCACCTCTTTTCCGATTTTTTTCATCTCTTCTCTTCATCTTCTCTTTCAATATCTTCCGCCTTTCTTTTTCTCTTTTACTTCCTGGTGTTATTGTATTACCATTACTTTTATCATCATAGATCATCATCTGATTGTGATGATGATAATGATGATAGAAATCATGGAATCAAGGGTTAACCCATGAAATAAGAAGAGAAAAAACTAGCTAAGTTAGTCTTGGAAAAGGAAAACTTTTCTTTACTCTTTTTGATTGAAGTTCTCAGTGGGTGGGGATCATCGTAAAGAGGAAAATCTTTCATTCCCACTCTCACTCTGAGTGTAAATCATTACAAATTTTCTTACTCCATCAACATAATCATCATCTTCTTTATCATCAATCCAATATCGTTATAAACAGAATCAAAATAATGAGAGAGAAAAAAACTTCTATTCCAAATGATAACAATCAACTCTCTCTCTCTCTCTCTCTCTCTCTCTCTCTCTCTCTCGCTCTCACTCCGATTACAATAAAATTGCAAAGATTCAATTGTAATCTGCTAAATGATTTAGTAACAATCAATTTCAATGATGCTGATCAATTAAGACACAGAAAAAAAGTTCAGGATTAGGAGGGAAAGTGATTGAGGTGAAACAATGATCAATATAATAAAAGAGTCAAGTATTGATAATAAAGCAACAATCAAATTGATCTGAATTAAGTTTCACCAAATTCAATATCATCAAGATTAATCTCTTAATTTAGTTAACTTTTCAGTGAACAATTTAATTGTCAACCTACTCTCCAGTGTCCAGTTCAATTAACAACAATTAAAATACCTCAAAAGTGATAGACTAGGGACTAATATGAAAAAAAAACTAATTAGTTACATTGGCAACAATTAATATCACAATTAACAGTAACTCTTGTCCCCGAGTAATACAATGATGATACGAAATTAAATTTAATCACAATAATAGGATTCAGTTGATTGAAATGTAAAGCATAAAAACTTAATTAATTTCAATTGTTTACCAATTAACTGTAATTAACTTAATAGGCAAGAAAATTGAATAAAATTAAAATTCCAAGAGGAAATTTAAATTGTTTCAATTACAACCTATTGATCAACTGATTGATTACTCTGAGCAATTGAATAATACATAATATCCTGATCTCTATTGTTATTTTCCTGCTTAATTGTTACCTTAATTATTTCAATTTGTTTTTTTACATCTACTTAATCACAGGAACCATTGGAATCAACTGAGTATTACAATTACTATCTTTTAACAATTAATGAAGATCGAGATACAGCTTTATTATCACTAATTAAAAGCTTCTCCCAATCAACACCAATTATAATTATCCAAATTTATATAATCGCTTCAATAACAACGACAACAACAATACCCCAATCAATACTTAATCCAACAACAATTAACACTCAATTAACAGGAAACAATTTATCCCTACAAAGGACAATTGGTAAGACTTTATACAAAATCAAACTATTCAAATTAGTTTAATTGTTTCCCAATCAATTGATTGCGAGAGAGAAAAAGTTGAAAAAAAAGTTTAATTTCAAGTAAATTTAATTTCATGATGACCAGTGGATGACCGATGGGAATCCAAACTATTATCATTATTAATGAATTGTCGGGTCAATGGGAGTCTTAATGAAAGATCAAAATGATTTAAGATAAATATCATTGCAAATCAATTGATTAATCATATTGATGATGCTCATAAATATCATCCCATTTTTCCGGTTCCTCTTGTTTTCATCATCATTAACGGTACAATATTAATACATATAAGAAGATAACATTTCTTGTAACATTTTGACTTCATTTTCATTATCATTATTTTTCTGGAAATGATCAGTCAGTTTGATGTTCTCGCTGTTGTTGTTGTTGTTGATCTTGACCAATGGTCACTTCTATCTCATTGTCTGTCTTCAGGATCTAGAGTTGAGTATTTGATTATAATAATAATAATAATGATGATATTTATCATCAAGTTTATGTTTGTTGAGATAATATTTTCCTTTTCTCTTACCAACCCAAACCTTTTCCTCTTTATGTTATTTTTTTGTCCTCTTCTTACTCTTCCAGGTTCTCAGAGTCTCCATCAACTTAATATCCTTTAAATTGCAATGAATTTGTCATGTGTTCACATTAAATCCTTTTCTTCAATGAAGATAAACAGGAAGAATAAGAAGAAGAAAAAAAACTGGACAACACTGACCTTTTCTTCATCATCATCTTCATAAAGATAAATATCTCTACAGATGATTTTACAGTTTCATCTCTTGTGCTCACATTTCTCTCTATTTTCATGATGACCATCATCATGAGATGTAATTTTCTAGTTTTCTTTTTGCTGGACATTGTCCAGTGGAAGAGGAAAAACTTGGCCCATCTTGATTGTAATGACGATAATAACAATAATAATACAAAAGAGCTAAAGATTTTTCATTATTATCGAACAAAAAAAAGGCGAAACTTACATTATGATAAAGATGAGATTTCGAAAAAAAATTTTCTTCTTCTTTTCTATTGGGTCAAGTTTTCTTGTCCAGTTTCTTCAGCTAAGTGGCTACCAGGGAGTTGACCATTTTGATAACTTTCTCTCCTTCCCATTTTTTACAGTTTCCCTCAGCATCCTCATCATCTCACCTTCGCCTCCCTCTTTCATCATCTTGTTACCTTTGTTTATCCTCGATAATAATAATAGATTATCATTATAACCATTGGAAAATTTTTCTTCCGTTATTTTGATTGTTATTATTTTCTAACAATCTAACATTTTATTTTCTCTTCTCATTCTTATATATAACCTTTTTCTTTCTATATATATTACATAAACTGACCATTGGTCAACTAACAGTAAAGGTTATTTGTATTAAAGGTAAAGCAAATTGTTGATTTATTGTTATTACTTTTCTAGTTTCAATTGTTTCAAATTTTTGACCATAGTAATCATAATAACAATAAGAGTAACTTAGTTAATCCAACAATTGAAATTTAATGTTCACTTGTGGTTTTATTTGTATAATTTGATACTAATTATTTACAATTAGTTTAATTGTTTCTTGTTAATTGTTATGTTACCATAACTCCACCTATCGACTGGTTTATTAACTTTTCTGTGAAAATCTTTCAATCTTAATTGTTGTTAACATGATACAAGATTAAGAGACAATTAAGATGTAAACAATATATGAAAGTTGATTAGATTAATTTGATTAATATTATCAAATGAATAAGCAAAAAAAAATTGTTCAATTGGACAAGAGTTTTAATCATTTGATTTACAATCAACTTGTTAACCTTTTTGATTACTATTACACTAATTGTAACAATCTAATTGTTTAAGTTACTGTTAATAATAAGAAGATCAATTGAATTGAATTGAGGAAAGTTAATGATTGGAAATAATTAGATTTTGTTTCATATTCGCAATAATAATAATCAATAATTAAGATGAATAAAAACAATGGAGGGATTTTATTTTTCTGATAACTTTTTCGTTCCAAGATAATCTGAGTAAATCTCATGATGAAGATTATAATGATGATGATGATGATGATGAAGCAGAAATTACAAATAATCATCAATCATCATCATCCTACTCAATGTAATTGATGTTACAGTTAATATTGACCATGAACCCTAAAGGCAACGGTGGTAACAATTTAATCAAACAGAGGTAACAACAATCAAGACAAATTAATGTACAGTTAATAATAGCAATGGGAGGTAGTGGTGGGTGGAGGGTGGAGAGTGTAGGGTGGGCTAGGGTGGTAAATGGTGAATTAGCAAGAAAAAATCACCACTGATATTCACCCACCCGGTGAGTTAATAACAGGGTGAAACAATTTACCTTGAGAAATATTAATAGATTAATGGTCAATTTGAGATTGAAGGTTAATTATCATGGTAAAAGTTCAGATATTATATTTTGCTTGTGGATTAAATTGATGCTTAATCATCATCATCATCATAATAAGAATCAATTGTTATCATATAACATGAACTTGCTAACAATTAACTAATGATGATTTAAGTATAAAGCTCAGAGAATCATGATCATGGTGACAGATTCAATCTCTCTCTCTCTCTCTTTATATGAGTAAAGTTCATTGGAGATGAAAAAGATCCATTTTTTTGCTCTCATTTTTCACTCCATCTTTTTTTCTTGCTATACTAATGGTCAAGATATTCTTGACCAGTAGAAATATCCTAAATCATCAAGGTTTAATTAAAATTAGCTTTTCTTTTTCACTAATATTAGTATTAAAGTTAATGAAAATTCATCTTTCATTGTTAATCTATTATTACAAGTTGAGAAATTAATCATTTGGGATTAGGTAAATTAAGATGAAAAAGTCAATGGTCAAGAAGTAAATTAATGATTATAATAAATGAAACTGGACCAAAGTTATAATATTATCAGAGAAGGGCAAATGTCCAATGGTCACTCAGGTCATTCCAATGGTTCCCTATTGAATTAGCCATTTGCAATTCAGTTAATTTATTGAGCTGAAACGTTCAAGTGTTGATCATAAGTTAATCATTAATCACGCCACTCGCATGCCAATGGTAATATTGATGATTAACAACAACAATTTAACAACAATCAATGGACAAAAAAAACAACAGAAATCAAAAAAATTATTGAATCAATATTAACATAGCAATTGCAACAACAACGATGAAAAAAAACATAAACAATTAATATCAAACTATTGACAATTTACAAATATTAATACAATTGTTACCATTAAAACATAAATCATCAACAATTAAATTGTTATTGGAAAGTTAATGATTAAATCAATAGTTAATATATTGATACAATCGGTAAACAATTGAATTGATATTAGTGTTAAATGGAAAACAATTTACTAAATTGTTTCCATTTATTTCCTAAGGTAAAGGGAAAATTTAAATTAATCATCAAATTGATGTAAAAGAAACAACAACAAAAAAGTTAATGATATTAAATATAAACAATTAATCAATACTACAAAGTAACATTAAATTGTTGAGAGATGGAAATGAGATGAGAAACAAATCAAACAATTAGATTTGGAAACATAAAATATAACAATTGATTGGAAACAATTAACTAAATGATTACAATCAAACAAAGATTAAGTTCAATACTAATGATATTTACTTTTTTTTTTGCTTCCTTAATGATGGTCAATCATCTTGATGACCACTACAACAAATGAACACACATTCATATATATATAAACTTTTATGTATTAGTTATGGTTCAATTGGCCTCAATATTTACCAGCTTAATACTGACCAGTTGGTCATTAGCATCTTACCATCGAGCCCTGAGAAGGTCAATACCGGAAAAGGATAACATGTCACCCACCGGTGTAATATTATCCTTCCTGTGGAGATTGGGAACACTTACCTGTCGAACCATGTCAATTGGTCTCTTTATATCAACTTACTCTTATTGGTTATTACCAATAGCCATTGGTCATTGGGGTATAATGACCATTTGGGTTATGCATCAGGGAACTTCATTCTGTCGCCATGAACAATCTGAATACCTTTTTAACATGATACTCGGTGTTTTATATCTGTTTGAATTTCTCAATATAAAAGATGAACCCACTCGGTATAAATATACTGCTTATTATATTATCCTTTTAATTGAGAATCTTTTATTAACTGGACTTTGGTTTATCAAGGTGACCACTCATGAATCACCAATCCATCATCTCTCAGCGTTAATCCTTTATGCCGGACTGACCAGTGCCTTTGCTCTTGGTATTGTTTTCATGTTAATCTATTATCGGTTTGCTCATCCCAATGGTAAATTACTTTGGATTAATAAAGCAGCTAAATGTTGTTGATATGGACAAAAGAAACAGAGAGATTAACTTTAATTGTTTACAATTAACCAAAATTAACAACTAAAAAATAGACAAATCAATCAATTGTTCAATCTGATATCATGGATTCAAATGTGATCATTTAATTGTCATCGTGAACGTAATTAAAGTGACAATTTTTGTCTTGTTGTGGTTAATTAGTTGATTGTAATACAAAAAAAATGAAAACGATTGTGATTAACAAATTAATACAATTAATAAGCATTAATTGTGATTATCATTTATATGGTTTTAATCATTTCCAACGCTTTTTGCGTTTTTGCTGTTAATTGTAAACAATTAAGGAGCACACATGATTTTCAATGTTTATTGTTTTCTTAATTGTTTTCCTGATTAATCTTGTCAGTTGGATTTTGTTGTTATTATTTAACAATACGAGATGTAATTAACTGAATCAGCAAAAATCGCAAGGGGAAAATTAATGATTAACCTTTTTTTTGCCACCATAATGAGTAATTAACTGGCACAATTAAGATGATGCAAAGTAATCAGGATAATTTCAATTGAGTTAATATTTGATTGGAAATTAATTAACCATGGAAAATGGTTAATTGTCTCAATTAAATCAATCAGATTAACATTTAAAATCAAGTCATTTTTACCTTGTTTTTCATTTTATTTTGTAAATTAACTAATTAACCACCCGACCGATAAACATCATTGCCAATCATGATTAAATCATCACTCTAATCGTCATGATTAATTGTAATATGTACAAAAAAAATCATTATTTATGGTAAATTTTTCCAGAACAATTAACTAATTATAATCATGGATCATCATCAACAATTTTCATCAACAATGTAATTAAATTAGCAGCTTACGAAATGTTTATTTATAAATTGATTTGTTTGTTTGTTTTTTAATTTCTGATTAATTGATAAATTTTGATCAATTGTAAATCAAATCAATTAGTCAATTTGTATTTAAATTGCTAATACCAACCTTTTGATAAATGATTATGATAATATTAATGCAATTCGTATCTAATTGTAGTCCTAATCTTTTCACCAGTGTCTCTTTTTTTTCATTTAATCATCATCACCATTGTAATATATCTGAAACAATTAAAGAATTGCTGATTTCTCATCAAAACAATTAATTGATTTCTCTTAAAAGTTTGATATAATTAACGGAAGAAGATGTCAAAGAAAAAAAAAAGAAATCAATCTTGGTTAAAATGATTAAGTTAATCATTAATGTTTGTCATCTTCATTAGATGTTGATAAATTAACACTTGATGATCTAATAATCATGTTATGTATTATTTATCCTGAAGCCGGAAAAGTGTTTTAAAATTGATAACAATTCACATGGCGGTTAATTGTAATCAGTAATTGTTACTATGCTTTAAACGTAAACATAATAATTAACCTAAATATAAGTTGCGTCTCAAATTGTGTTGATGATTAGTTTCGTAGCCAATTTTTTTTTTGTTTACAACACACTCTTCATGTTATTAATCTGGATAATCTTCAATTAAATCTGGAACTATGATGATTATGATGAAAAAGACCAACGATGATGAAATTAGAATTGATTGTTGTCATGTTGTAGTTGTTGCTGTCGTTCAATACAAGGTTAGACTTTCGTTACAATTAAGTTATTCGGTGTATTGTTAATCGTGTTCATCTATGTGTGTTTTTTTTGTACCTTGAACAGAAAAAAATCAAAGTCAGGAAATTGATTAGTAATAATCATTAGAAATACGTAAAAGTTATTAATTTATGATAATTAACAATTACGAAAAGGAAAGAAACGTAAAAATAAATATATATACTTAAATCAGTCACTAATTGAATTATTCAATCATCAGAGATAAATTCAACTATTATTATACCAGAAAAGCGGGATTGTAGTAGGTGAATTATCATGATACAGATAAGATGATGAGGATGATGAGGATGTTGTTTTGATTGTGGAAAAAGTCACATTGTGATATTTGGATGAATCTTAACCATTAGGATCTCTATTGATGTGTAAGTATTGAATTTCCATGAAACAAGAAGAAAGAAAAAACCAATCCATGATTACCAGGCAATTAAAATGTAAATAGATATATGAGATAGTGTTGATGAAAAATGAGATTCCAAGATTGATGAAGGAGAGAAAAATGATAAATTACATTGATTACTTGAAATCGATTGATAATTGTAACATCATCTCTTTTTTTTTCCAATTTCCCCGCTTGAAACCAAACAATTTACGAAAAGGGAAACAAAACTAACACCAAATGTGAAATGTGAATCTAAAAGAGAAAAAGAAGAAGCAAGAAAAACAATCAACAATTAACAAAAAACAATTAATATCGGTTCAAAATAGAAACTATGAAAAATATTTTAGTTACAAAGTAACAATTAAGACAATTGAAATTATCCACTTGAAAAAATAACTCTAATCACTATCGTTAGATGGAGACATGGTGATGCTAATCAGGAGCTCACTTTTAACCGGGAAATTCAAGGATAACAGCTGATTGATTAGATTTTGTTTTTTTGTCAATCTAATCAATTCCTAAACAGTCAACACAATTGGAAGATTAAATTGTTGCTGATAGAGAGAGAGAGAGAGAAGAAGGCAAATTAGAGTGGGATAATTGCTCTAAATGATATCGAAATAAAAAAAAATGGTAACTTACTTATAATTAGTAACATAATAATAACTGTTAATGATGATGATGTTATTATTATCATGATGACTTTTTGATCAGTGAGAGCAGATTAAATTAACTGAATTATTGATTGATACGACAGTTTGTGAAATTGGTTTATAAAGGTAACTCATGTTAACTAATCTTCTTGTCATCATGATACACGATGAGTTGATCTTTTTTTTTTCTTGTAATCTCACTAATGAGTATAAAGAGAAAGTAATTATAATTGTAACTGTACAATGACAATCAATTTGTTTCCCAATTTTTTTTGTCTCTTTTCTTGTGTTGTGTGTCTGTGTGTATATTTCAAGGTTTTGATCTTGAAAATTGATCATTAAATGACATAATCAATGTAATGGTTACCTTGAGGAGAGAGTCAATAAATTTTGTTGCTAGAGAGGAGAAAGAAATTAGGAAAGATAATCAATTGTTAAAAATAGTAGTAGATGATGAAATCCTTATAAAATCCTGATTAGTATGATGAATCCTTGTTGTTGTTGTTGTTGTTAATTGTCACTCGATTTCTTAATCTTCTTTGACTCCAGTTTTTGGCTTTTCAGAGTATGACACCTCTTGTTATATGGGAATTATGATAAAATTACTATTCCTGGAAGATAAAGAGAGAGAAAAACAAATTGAGAGGGAAAGAGAAGATATTAAAGAGGATATTGAATGTGAAGATACACTTGAAGACAAGGGTGGAAGAGAAAAAGGTGATGAGAAGATGAGGGTATACAAATCATGTGTTGATGAATATTCACCGGAGAAAGAAAGGTTTACCTGGAGGGATTATTTTCGCATTCTAATAATATCTTATTGGACCAAGGAAGAGTTGTCAATTGGATAATTCGTATTGCCAGAGTGAGAGAACAAGAGATTACGAAAAATCTATAATAAAAAAAGCAAAGAATTACAAAAAATTCAGTCAATTAGAAAAAATAAAATTAACTAATTACAACCTAATTAGTGACATTGAGATAATATCATTTATCATCATCGGTTGGTGGAGCCTAAAAGTCATCAACCGTAAACAATTGATCATAGATCAATCTTAACATAATTAACTAAAGTAGAGAGATGAAGAAAGTTGATAATGGAGAGAGAGAAAAAATTAGTGAGAAAGAGGGAGAGAGAAAAAACTAATTGTTAGATTAAAAAAAAACTCGAAGGCCACTAAATCACAAGTAAACCAGAAAATTAGTCGACAACCAGAAAAAAAAATCCAACCGAAAAGGTGAACATAATAGTTAACAGAATCTGCAAGAGATGGCGCAAAGAAAAAGTAAAAGAAATGATTAGTTAATTGTTTGAAATCAATAAGAAAAAATTAGAATATTAATCTCACGTTTTTAAATTAACTATTGATTATCAATAAGCAATAGAAATGCTGTTTCCTTAAAAATCTTCAATAGAATGAGAGAGAGAGAAGTTGAAAGACGAGGGAAAACCAAAGTTCCATGTTGAAAATAATCCATTGATTCTTATCGATCTCTTATATTGTGACGAGAAGGTGAGAGACAATTATAAGTTGATCAACATAATTATCAAAATGTACACATAATTATTGAGAATCACAATAATCACATCTGTCTCTCTCTCTTTTCTCCCTCTGAGTGGTGTGGATTTCTTGTTATCTCCTTTGTAAATTAAATTTGCTTCCTTCTGTTTTGCTTCCTTCTTCTGCTTCCCTCCATCAACATTGTTTCTCCTTCATCAGCATCATCTCTTATCCGTGCGATATGATTGCTGATTGTCATATAATTGCAATAATAATAATCATCATTTCATCATTAGGAATAATCATCATGTCTTCATTTTCTTCTCTTCAACCAATCAATTCCAATTCATAAACATATTCTCTCTCTCTCTCAACTGCCTCTTCTTCATCATCATCATAATAATCTACTTCATTTTTCTCTCTCTTTCAAACCAGGAAAGTGTAATTATTTTCTTTTTCACTAATATTGCATGATTGGTCTCTTTCTTTCTCTTACAACGTTCGCATTTTTTTGCACTGGGGAAAGAGAAAAGTAAATGTAAAGGAGAGATAGAGAAAAGGATGAGGATGAGGAAGAGAGAAAAGAGCAAGCGAAAAAAAAGGGTGCGAAATTAGCTTAAATCTAAGCTATAACTCAACTCAAGTATGGTGAAAGGTGATCAAATCATTTGGCAATCAATTTTAACAAGCAAAAGGCCAACACCCCATATATTTGCACTCGCAAGTAAAACTAATCACTAGCTACTACATTCTATCTATCAATTCTGCTTTTTTTTATTACTATTCTTTTACTATCTCTCTCAATTTCATTTACTTTTCTTTTTCTCTCTTTGTTGGAAGCTTTTTCTACAGTCAATCATGCATATATATATATCGTTTCTGTAGAAATACTGTGAGAGTGGATGGAAATATGATGGTTAAGATGATGAAGTAGGTAGAGTGCAGAAAGAGAACAATTCACAAGACCGAATCAAATCCATCATCAGCCTCAAACATTATCATCATCGTCATCTTGCTCCTTTGGTTAAAGCTCCTTATTTCAATTTCTCTCAATTTGCTGAGTGTTTCTTGCCGCTGATTCTGTTGTTGCAATTGAGCCACTGTGAACCATCATCATCATCAACAGCAACTTTATCTTCATCATCATTACCATTCAGGCTCATTGGTTAACGAAGGTTCAAGGGAGATTATTAGATGAATGAAGAAGATGAAATGATGATGATGAAAAGTGTAAAATAGATGAGAGATCCACCTAAGAAGTGTAGGGCCATTCAACTTGATCCAATGATAATTACCAACAGGCTGTTTAACAATTGATCCCAATGGAGAAAAACCATCACAAATTAATTATAAATAAAATTCTGAAAGAAAAGAAAAAAGATAAATAAGTTTTAACTTTGATAAGTTTGACAATAATATCAACATGAACATGGAAACGTTTCCATATGAAAAAGCTACGTAAAGATAAACCTTGAAAAAGTTTCTTGGTCTTTTCTTTTCGTAATAATTTTCATGGTTTTTCTCTCTCACTTTACCTCATTCATTCATTCATTTTCTTCATTTATTCATTGGTTCGTATGTTCATACCCCAATCTCCTTGATCGCCATCTTGATGATTAAACCATTAAGGCGAAGAGAAAAAAAAACTCTCTCTCTCTCTCACTCAGAACTGATGAAAGAGAAAAAGAAAATGGAAAATGCAAATACAATTTACATCGATGTTTCTTTTCAGTTTTTTTCTCCATGCAAACACATAAACACGTTGAAGATTTTTCTTGTAATTTACTTGATTGTTGCAAATACGAGAAAAGGTGAAGAAGAAAACAAGAAAAGATAAACGATAGAGAAAAAAAGGAGTAACAATGTTCACATAGAATAGACAATAAGCCGTCAATACAAATAGAGAAAATCCAATGAATATACACATAGAGATGAGAAATTCAGCAAACAAAAGTGACGATGAAAAATAAAGATGATGAGGTGAGAATAGAGAAAGAAAACGAAATGAGAAAATGAGGCGATTGATGAGAACGTAAAATTGGAGACAAACGATATCCAAACCATAGCCTAAAGGGGTGAACTCTTGAAATGATATCTCTCTTTCTGCTAGTAGTTGATGATGATGGTGATTATATTCCTGATGCTCATTATCATTCACCGGCAAGTTCCACTCGCCGATAGCCTGAAACCAGAAAAAAGCCTTAAAGCTATGAGCTAAGAGAAACACAGAGAAAGAGAGAAAGAGAAGAAATTGAAAGTTATTGCTCTAGAGAGAAAGAAAAAGAAAGAAAGAGAATAAAAAGTAATCGCGACATCAAAATTCTGAGAAAAGAAAAAAAATCTATGCAAATTAATAAGTAAAAGAATATGAATAAAACTGAACTTACCATGGAGACGATTAACAATCAAAGAGAATCAAAGAAATTGAATGGAAAAAGGGACAGAGCCAAAAACAGAAGAAGAGATTAAAGAAAAACAAATTAACTAATTAACTTAAATTTGGAAAATGAAACCTTGAATATTGAAAAAGAAGAGAAAAAAAAATCAAAACGAAAAAGAAAAAAATGAAAAGCGAATTAAAAGAAAGAGAAAAAGAAAGAGAATAGAAAAGAAAATTAAATCAACAATATGGCGACTGTTTACTTTTCTTTTCTCACCTTTGTGATCACTTTTCCCTCTCAACCTGAGAAAATCTAATCTCTTTATCTTAACTAATCGGGTCATTTTAATTTCTTCTTCTTTTTTGTTTAATCTTTTCAACAATTTAATTTCTATGGGAGAATAAGTTAAAATCTGTTAATTGTTGGCAACAGAAATTTAAATATTAATCAACTCTTACTAATTTTGTTCACATCCAGTTAATCCCTGTAAGTGTTTTAATGTGTCTCCTTGTGTTAATCATAATTTTTATCCCCTTTTCTTGTTGATTGTTTTGTATTGTTAATCCAAACAATTAACTTGATTAAGTAAAATCAATTAGCAATGTGATTATAATCCTTCATCTTTTGTATCACCAACCAAGTTGCTTATGTGATTAATTTATTTATCTCTCTCTTTCTCTCTCTCTCTCATTTTCTTTTTATCATCTTGTTGCTATAATTTATACTCATGATGTTTTATTTACCATGTGAATTTTTATTTTTATTCCTTAATCTAAATTTTAATGATTTTCTCTTTCAAACAGAAGAGAAAATGGTTCATTGGGATTAATCTCCTTCTCGTATATTAATATGATTAAGAATTGAATTTTGTTTGATTTTTTCTTCTTTTGCTGCTGCTGATTTATATATAATCATATTAATGGTGATGATGATTGCTGCTGTTTTCTGTTGGAGAGAAGAAAAAAAAATCATGATTGACAATGATGATCATCATGATTATAATACCTGAAGATGGTGGGTTTCAATTCATTGATTTTCAAGGTAACAAATTAACATTAATTCAACTGGTTTACATTTTAAAAGATATTGGAAGTAATTTTTATCTCTCTCTCTCTCTCTCTCTCTCTCTCTCTCTCTCTCTCTCTGCTGATTTGTTTTTCTACAGAAAATTATGGAAATACATCCTGTGATTACCTGGCTAATTACTGACAAGTTAATGGTCTTTATCATTCTTGGTGATAATAAACTGGACACAAGTAGATAAATTTGTCTTCTGTTGTTACCATTGATTGTCCTGTTAATCTGTTTCTCAATCCTAATCTCATTTCAATGGATTTCATGTCTATTTTTCCCTCTCAACAAATTAAACGTTCCCAAAATCACTGATAATTAATCAATGTCATCAGTTTGATGGATAAGGTAAACATATATAACAACAATTCACAATAACGAGATGATGAGAAAATTTTTTTAATTCTCTCTCTCTCAAATCATAAACAGTGTCAATTGGATTTAACTTTTAAATTCACAAAACACTGTTGTGTAAAAGAGATTGTTAATTGTTATTGTTTCGTTTCTATTGCTCATTTACTCTCTTTCTCTCTCTCCAATCTAAATCACTTACACGATTTTAATATTAATCTACCTTACAAAATATATTTTCCTTTCTTATATTAAATTAGATTTACATGATTTACTTAACAATAACGATAACCATTTTCTGTTGTAATTGGATTGGATACTCTAATTAGTTAAGCTACAGCAAACATAATGCATAAAGAACCAGAAAGGATTTCTGATTAGATTGTTATTGTTATTGACCAGTTACATTTGACTTTTCAATTTAAAACCACAATTTGATTAATTTTAAATGGTAAGATGCACATCAATTATTCACTAATTCATTTACCTTAATCACTGCAAAAAAAATCATCTCAAATTTACAATCAGAAATCATTATCTCATTTCCAACAAGTAATATTAATAAGTTACTATTTCTCACCATTATCATTGATTTTATTTGTGTGTATTTGTGACGATAAACATCATTAATTTAATTATCATTACTTTAGTTGATTTGAATCAATTAAAGGTGTAGATGAAAAATTATATTTACCTAAGCTAGTTAACCAGAAAAAAAATTAGGTGTTCAAACCTAAAAAGTTAATTTGATTATATGTTATATCTGTTTATGGTTAAATTAAAGATTCAAATGATTAGTATTACAGTTTTTACAGGTATTATTATATTAGTAATAATAATTGTAAATATATACGTGTATCTATTGTTTAATTCATTAATTTTTTTTTCAAAGATACAATTTAATCGTTCTAATTGTATTGTAATTATCAAGCTAATTTATTTTTTCTCTTTTCTCCTAATTGTGTTTCTTTTTCTTCAATGTTACATGTATCAAGAGGAATATCCATACATCTAATTGGAAACACGATCCACTAATTGTATTGATTATTACTTAAAGTCCAACAGAGAGAGAGAGAGAGAGAGAGAGAGAGAACCTGGAAACCCTACATGGACCATTCACTGTATACGGTGACCACTGACCGATTGAGACAATTATCTACAGTATAGCAATGAATTGCAAGAGGCCAAAGTAAATTTGCTTTTCAAATCTACGGAGAGAGATTTCTCCAATCATCAATAAATGATTGTCATAACAATCATGACAATTGTCTATGATTAACGGAACATCATCTTCATCACCAACATACAATAACATCAACAGCATCAATCCTGGTTCAATGACAGTATCCGCATCATCATCATCATATATTTTTGATATATAATTGGCAATTTTCAGTTTCAACCTGAAACCAGATTAACAAGAAAGGCAAAAGAAATGAGAGAGAGAGAGAGAGAGATGAAAACGAACACACAGTGAAGAAACTAAGGGAGATGAAGTGAGAGTGAGAAAGAAAATCTCAAGAGAATGAAATCTTTACCAAAGAAAATGGTAAAACCTGAAAAAAGGCAACAACTACAGCTAACAACATGTCTTCATTATCTTTTCTATGGATTAATATCTATCCACGCCAAAGAAAAAAGTTCCAAGAAAAAGATGAACATCATCATCATCGTGATCATCTCATCAAGACCACAAAGGAAAAAAAACTGAATTACCTGAATGATTCCTGGTGATTCTGGTGTATTCATATACATGTGTGTGTGTATATATATATGATGATGATGATTATGCTATTATTATGAGTGTGAATTGAACTTTTAAAAAGTAATCAAGAAGATGATGATTATGATGAAGATAAACCATGAAAAGTTAAGTATAATTTGTAATTTTCATGGTCACACACACACAATCATCTTTAATCATTTCAATGTTAAAACAATAATTAGTGGACTAAAAGCTGCAGTTTCAAGCAATCAATTGAAACGTTAATTGACCATAAACTTATTTACTGGTCAAAGTTCTGGATGTTTTTGTTTTCTCTCATTCTCCTAATGTATATACGATATGGATAAAAATGAAAAGCCCAACTTGGAATACGATCTTTATCATGATCGGTAATTTATCAAATGCATTTAATAGCATCATGTATTATTTGCTGTTGTAATTAGTACAAACAATAAGTAATTCAAATTAACCATAATAACAACAATGATCATGATCATTGTTGATAATGATTAATATAATTAGACTCTTACAAGTAAGAAAAAAAAACAAAATTCTACTTCAAGATATTAAATGATAACCATTTCTTTTTTTTCTCTTCTTCTTTTTCGCAGATCGTTTTCATCAAGAAGATCTTGATCTTGGCTGTAATTATAATAATCGCAATTGAGTTGGAAATCCTTGATGGTCAATCATCAATCTTGACCAGGTCAGTGTCCAACAACTTCCGGCTTCAAGGTTTAAATGAAGAAGTGGTAATTGAAATGAATGGTTAGTAAAAAAACAGATGCTCTCTCTCTCTCTCTCTCTCTCTCTCTTTGAATGGTGATGCAGTTGCAATTTAAATTGATTTGTTAATTGGGTAATTAAATGGTCAGTATCATGAAGCAATTAAAAATTTTCTAATGATAGAGTTAATGTTTCTGTGGGTGGAGAGACAATTTATTATCTCTCTTCCAATTGGAAGATGTTGATATGATAAATAAGGAAAATTATGCAATTTTTTAATGGAAAAATTATTAATATTTGTCGTCGAAATGTTTTCTGTATTTTCCAAAGAACTGTTCTATATTTATATACAGTTGATTGATTTTCCGTTTCCGGAATATCACAAGATATGGAGAGCACAAGGGTGACACTTTAAAATTTAAGTTGCTTTTCTTCAGCTATTGATAAAAAGGTCTATCTCTTAGTATATTTATATGGAATTCTAATTATTATTATTGGTTTGTATTGAAATATTTTCGAGGATCAAGAGACTCTTTCGAATGTATCAAAAAGTTAAAATTAATTGTTCTTATAATTAATGAATAATAGAAGCCAAAAAAGGGTAACATTTCCGTTTCACTTTACGGAAAAGGAAACAGTAACTCACACATTGATACTATCGAAACCTCAAGTAAGGGCAAAGAAAAGACAAACATGTTAATTAGTAGGTCACAACTTTAAGACAATAATTATAAGCAATTAAGTTGCAGTTTCTTCGTGATTAACAACATAAATTAACATGAAAACATTGAATCTTTGTTTTTCATGATAAAATCAAAGATATTCAACAAAACCAGAATTTGAAATATTCAAATTATCGCTAAGTGAATCTCTCTCTCTCTCTCTCTTCTTCATCTTCTCTTTCATCATCTTAGTTCCCTTTCATATCATCATGATGTTCATCCTCATGATAATTCATTCCATTCAATAATTACAACCAATTAATCAACCCCCTCCCTCCCTCTCTCACTGTCTCCCTGAAAAAAAGTATCAAAACAAATATGAGAAAGTTTTGTTTTTCAAAGGAAATGATTATATTGCTTGCAAAATAATGAAGACATTGAACACGCATTGAAAAGCAACACTCACTGATTATCGTGGTGTAAATAAATGATAATATTGGCAATATGTTATCCAATTGATATTCATAAATCCTCTGGATAAATATGGAAACCATTGTGAAAACAAACCCATCAAAGTGATAAGGATACTCGTAAATATTATGGACGTTATTTATTACTATTATTTCATCCATTCAATTATTTACTTCACTATTATTATTATTGTCGTGATTACCATTTTCTTGGGTGTATCTTCATGAAAAGATGACGATGATGATGATGAGAGGCCCACAGGTAACAAAGAGAGAGAGAGAGAGAGAGATTACCACTCATAATGATTATCATCTTTAAGCTGTGGAAAAAGGTAACAACAATAGACTGTAATTAGTAAACCAGATTTCATGAAACTGATAAGATGATTTCCTTATTAACTTATTATCTTCATCATCATCTTTTCTCTCTCATCCTTCTCACTTTTTGTTAGTAATAGTATTCACGAAGGAGATATACTAACATTAATGATAATACTTCGTGTGAATACCTTCAATATCGTCAGAGTTTTCTCTTTATTACCTATTCCATGTATCTCTTTGTAGTTTTTTACTTTACCTTTGGGAAACCAATTTTATGCAACACTGATACATGGTGATGGAGAAAGAGCCACCCCACCTTTTCTCACTCACCTTTATTTCTCATCATCTTTATGGTTCTTTAAACTGAACATCGAAGGAGAAGAGAGAGAGAGAAAATATCATATTCGAGGTTGTTTCTTCTTCTTCATCTCCTGTCGATTCCAATTAGCACTAATATATTAATGGAGAACATATCTCTCTCTCTCTCTCATCATTATTATCATCATTCTTCTCTCTCTCTCACTCTTCTGTAATTTACCAAACTTTATTTTCCTTCAACAGGATTCTTACCTTTAGTTTCCATACGCTACTTAATACTTACGCCTCAGGGTAACATTTCGTTAGCTCCCACCTAACTCTCTTTCTCTTTAATATTTTTTTTTCCTTTTCTTTTCTCTTTCTTTTTCTCTTTCTTTCTTTCTTTAGTTGTTCTTTAGGTTGTAACTGCTGCCCATATGACTACGTGAGATGAAGGTAGGCCATTGGGAGGAGGGGTGGTAGAAATGGTGGAAAAGGGATGGAGGGAGGATGAGCCTCACCCAACAAGCCATCAGACAACGACCATGATGATGATAATCATCATGAGCATCATCATCGTGCCTTTCTTACCTTCTTTCTCCACATTAACTTGATTCTCTTATTATTACCTTCGTTTAATGTTAGAAGCGTTTTTGATTAAAAGGCCTTTTACCAATACATTTAAAATAATGATTCTAAACAACAGCAACAACAATAATTTTACTCAAAGCATCATCATCATCATCATCATCAACAACTCGCACACACACATAAGCACACACACTCAATAATAAACTAGTCTAACCTCACGATTCTGTTTTTCAAGTGAAATTTGGCCTTTTAAAACGATTCATCTTCTTAAAACAGGCTAACATTTATCGCCCATGCTATGGACATACAGATACAAACACGATAAATTAACGCTCGATATTATAACGGTATCATTTTCTTATCCCCAACGATTTAAATGCACACGAACTTTAATATTTACGAGGTGAAGTTGAGAGATAAAAAAAAAGTTCTAACGATATAAAGAAAAACTTTTTTTTCTTCTCTTCCAATATCTCTTTCAATCAAAGTTTCCTAACGAAAAAGAAGAAAAAAAAATCAAGCTCATGATGATTAGAATTGATGATAAACTTGAAGATAATTAACTTTCTCTCACTAATCATGATGATATATCTCAAAATGAATGATAATCTAACCATTATATCAATAGATATACAATCCAATTCAATATTATCATGTTATTATGATCAGTATATCATTAAGACTTAATTGTTAGATTAAAAAGGCGAGGCTATTACTCTGTGTGTGTGTGTGAATTGACCATCTTAATGATGATTAACTTTTCTCATGAATTTGATTCTCTCTCATCTTAATCTTAATCATCTTCTTAATTTTCCTGTTTTCTTTTTTTCCTTGATCGATTTTCATTTGTTTTTAATCGTAACTAAATTTTTCAATTAACTTTTTTTCTTCTACTACGTCAACAATTAACTTTGATTGTGAGACATTTTCTTTTGTTTTAATATTTAATATACAAAATTATTTTTCTTCTTCTTCTCCAGCAATTAACTTAATTATTACTTCACTTTAATTGTTTGTTATTTGCTTTTCTTTCCCTCTGCAAAGGGTTTCCTTTTAATCTTGGTTACTTTGTCTACAATTAATTGTAATCCTGTTAATTGTAATTAATTAAACATACACTTTTTCAGGTTCAACTGATTAAGGTGAACAAATTATTTTCGTCAAAATTAAAGTTAATTGTTTTCTGTTGTTGTTGTTGATTGTTTACAATTTAGACAATTGATCAGCATAAATTATTGAACGTATTTAAATAAACATAAATTGTAGATATTAAATTACTGTTAATCAGTAACATTAAATTAGCAACAATTAAATTTAATCACATAAATTTAAGTAAATGAAAACTTTTCTCTCTCTGATTGTTTTGCTTGATTACCTTGTGTTTGTTAACAACAATTAATATTCACGAATGATAATTAATATTATTAGTCTTTCTTTTTCCAATCTCTTCATGGCAATTAACAATTATCAGAAAGTGATTAAGGTTATGTCTTAATTGTGGTCATTTGATTTCCATGTGGATGATTAGTAAATTATTGAAACAATGAAACAATTATAAAAGGTTAATAATGTTTATCAGGTAACTTGATTTATTGTCATCAACTAATCATCAACAATCAACAACAATCAACAACATTTACTTATCTTTTACTTTGATTTTCCTCGCTTCTTGATCATCATCATCATCATTTTCCTCGTTATCATCCTTGCTCTCTCTCTCTCACCTTAATGATGATAATCAACCGTCATCATCTTAATTTAATTATTTGTATTCTAATGAGAGTTAATTTTAATTTTCTCCTTCCATTGTAATTGTATTTGCATCCATACAAAAGGATACTTTGTATTCATGATGATTAATATATTCTGAGGTTTTCTTGTCTTCTCTTTCTTTTCTTTCTTTCTTTTTAGTTGGACACGCACTTTGACTTCAAGATGATGATGACGACGACGATGAGGATGATGATGATGATGATGAAACACGAAGATGAGTCCAGGATAAGAAACCTCATCATCTTTACTCATCATCAACTTCCTCATTCAACAATCAACTAACTTTGTCTTATGACCTTTTCTTGCTAATCAAATCTAGAGATTTAATTGTTTGCATACACAAAAGGGTTAAATTGTTACTATTAAAAGATGCACACACACACACCCAATTAAATTAATTGTTGTCATATTCAGTTAATTGGATTAATCCGGATAATCTTTAATCTCTGGATGTTTTAGTTTTTAATCCTGATTCATGTGAATGAAGAAAAAAAAAATGATAGAAAATCAATTGAAAAATATAACAATTATCTGATTGTGTTTACACACAATTACTTTTGACTTGGTGTATTAATTGGTAACAATTAAGATGATAATTAAATTTGTATTGCTAAATCACACCTAATGATGAAGACAATGATGATGAAAATGATGATAATTGAGATACAATAATAAAAAGATAAATGTGAATATCAACAATTGAGTTTAAGTGTTAATTTAAAATCATGATTAAATTAACCGAAAAAAAAACAAACTTCTCTTCCTAATTGTCTCTAATCAAACAATTAAATCACTTATTTACAACAATTAACAGAGAAAAAGAAAGAGAGAGAGAGAATTAAATTAAATTGTAAAGAAAATTAATCAAAACAATCACTTGAAATAACTCAGAGACTCGATTGTGATAATTACCAATCATGAACATTTTCTGATGGAGGAAATTTAATCACAATTAGTTAATTTGTTTGTTTTTCTTCCGAAAACAAAAATAACATAATTAGTGTATTTTGTTGTGTAGAAAAAGCAAAAAAAAGAAAATGGGAGATAATCTCAAATCTTAATCCATTAGGGATTATCTCATTTATACAGAATAAAAAAGTTCCAAAAGATAATTTAATTTAAATGTTTTTTTTGTTCCTTTTTTGTTTAGGTTTTTTTCATGGAAAAATGAATGATTTTTAATTAAAGTAATTAATTTATAATCATTGTCGTAATTAAGAGTAAAACGAAGATTATTTTGTTTATTGATCTTCTCAATCAGTTAACTGTATTTTTCTTTTACTTTTATAATTATGATTAATTTTAAATCATTTACACTCATTTGAATGTCAACCCTTAGTCCGATTCCTCTTTGAGCATCGATGACCAGTGCTGCTTTTCGGGTAAGTTAAATGAATTTTGACTCGATGAAATTTGATGCGAATTTTGTTAAAGAAATAGGAAGGTGACCTTCTTTGTCCATGTGTGTTTACACGTCTATTATATGGGGAAGGGTGTGAGAGAGGTCAAAGATCACGTTGCAAAAGGGTATTTGTCTTTCACTAAAATAATATTCGATTTGTGTGTTGTGTGTGTGTGTCGAGGAGATTTGATCAATTTTCGAGAACGAATTTGGATCTTTGGACAGCAACAACAACAGTGGTCAGTGTTTTGGTCACTATTGTTTTTTTTTCTAATGGAGGTTAATGCAAAAGCTGCTGTAGGCACAAAGTTTTTGTTGTTGATGTTGTTGTTTGGTGGTTGTGGTGTTTTCGGTGTGGACAAAGGCTGCAGGCGATTTCGCTGCGTTTGGATCATGGGGAAATCTAAGGATTAACTGCATCCGAACTTGATCAATAATCGATTTTCTTTGTCACCAGGATAATTATGGTTAGACAGTTGATTCGACCTGGATCATTATGATCTATGAGCGGCCACTGCCACCAGAGAAAAGAAAACCTAAAACCCTGGACCTTTATAATTACACCTCTTCTCCATTATAATATTACCAATAACATTTCACCTCTACGAAAGTCTATAAGTCCAAAGGTAGAGGTCACACAGAGATCATACACATTTTAAGAGAGTATATGTTGTTATCACCAGAAAATTTTCTTGCTTGAGCTCTGCCATTGGGGGAAAAAACTTCATTTCATGAGGATCAATTGATTGTTTACTAATTAGAATCATCATCATTGTTGTCTCTCTCTCTCTCTCTTTGTTACTTTTCTTCTCCTAGAAATCAATCAACTCTTTTGTTTTTCTTCTTTCAATGACCTTTGTCCATTTCGTCTTTTCCTCTGATTTTTTGGCTGGTTGAGAGAAAGAGAGATCAAATTCCAATGGTTACCTTTTAGAATATCTTTTAGAACCTTTTTTTTGAGCTATTATGTGAGGCGATTGTCGTTGTTGTTGATGCTACAAAATGAATCTATTTCGCCCCCTTTATTATTTTTTTACTTATAATTAGGCATCATTTTCATCATCATAGATAATTGTTTCATCTTCATCATATAAGATAGAGTTAGAGAAGAGACAATTACAATAAAAAAAAGATTTGAATGTATAATTCAAAAAAAGAAAAAAAAACAGAGGGATTAGAGAAATAGAGAGAGAGAGAGAGAGAGAGAGAGAGAGAGAGAGAGAGAGAGAGGGAGAGGGAGATATATTGTTGTTGTTTTTGTGTGTTTTTGTGTGTGTGTTGTGTTTAAGTATTGATTGTTTTAACCACCGTTAATCAACAGTTGATCAGATTGGCAAAACTGGTGGCACTCCAGTCTTCACCTAAGATATCCGAGACCTCGGGTGAGGCATAATCCGGGAATTCAAAGTGTGAAAAGGTTATCGGTGAAAGGGAGAAAGATGATGACTCGGATGAGAAGGATACCGATGAGAGAGATGATAACGATGAATTAGAATTTGAGTTGGTGGTTAAATTTTCAATCAAATTTACTGTTGCACCGGAAATTGGTGAGGGTGGCGGTGTAGTAGTCGCTGTAATCATTGATGCTGTTGATGGTTGTAGTTGTTGAATTTGTGGTTGCAGTTGTGGTGGTATTGTTGTTGTAGTTGTGGTTGTGATGGTTGATTGTGGTGATGGTGTTAATATTGGATTTAATTTGATACCATTCATAGCACTTGAAGGTGATAATGAAGAGGTAGTTGATGATGAAAGAGAGTTGGTTAAACGATTTGTGGTAAAATTAATTGTTGTAGCTGCTGAGAGTGGTGATGATGAGGGTGTTAGGGTTGTTGTTGATGATGAAGTACTTGTATCCATTGGGGTGGTGGTTAATAGGGATGAAAGAGATGAATCAAATTTGATCCTATTGGTTGAACTCAAGGGTGACAACGAGGAGGTGGCTGATATTGAATTGGTCAATAAATAGGAGGTGAAATTAATCTTGTTGGACGTTGAAGATGATGAATTAACGCCTTTAGCAACAATCAACGGTGTTACAGATGAGGTTGGTACTGTTGTTGGAGTAATTGAGCTTGAAGATGACACCGTTGATATCACTTGGGGAAGAGGAGGAGAAGGAGGAGAAGCAGCAGTGGTGCTTGTGGTCACCGATGATATTTCAGCTTCTTGAGAGGCGGTTGAATTTGTCGTTGCGACGGCGGCGGAAGCGGCTGCTGCTGCTGCTGCTGCTGCTGCTTGCAATGAAGAAAGTACTAACTCAGGTGTTACTGATGTCGGTGTAACTGCTGGTGAAACGGTTGGTGTTATATCGGGTGTTAGTGTTGTTATCGGTATCGGGCTTGAAGTAGGATTCACTGTTGATACCACTGCCTGTTGTTGTTGTTGTTGAGTTACGACTTGGGTAACTGGTACTGTTGATGATTGTGTTGTTGAAGCGGCTGCTGCTGCTGCTGCTGCTTGGTTAACTGTTAGTTTCACTGTTGGTGTTAAAGTTGGTGAACTTGAAATTGAAGTAGTTGTTGTTGGTGTTGTGGTTGAGGTATTATTGTTATTCAATCCAATTCCACCAATTGATGTACTCACAGGTTGATTGTTACTTGTTTTTGCCTTTTTTCGTGGCCTGTACTTATAATCGGGATATTGTTGAATGTGAAGCATTCTCAAACGTTCAGCTTCCTCTACAAAAGGCTGTCGATCAGAATCGGTCAAGGTTTTCCACCTTTTACCCAAACGTTTACTAATCTCGGCATTATGCATATCAGGCTGTTGTTCACAAATTTTTCTCCTCTCAATTTGAGACCAAACCATGAACGCATTCATCGGCCTCTTAATATGATTGGTAACCTTTTTACACTGGGTTGCATCGGTATAAGGTGTTCGAGATCCAGTTGAGACATTTAATGATCCAAAAACGGGCATGATTTTTACGTTGATTGTGTAGAGTGTTTTGTATGTGATGTGTGTGTATGTTTATCCAAATAGAAAAAAAAACGAACGAACAAAAAATAAAAACGAGAGTTTTCGATGAGCAGTTTTAGAAGAAGAAAACGAAGAGAAATTGATGAGGTGAAGTCGCAAAAGAGAATAGAATTTTCCAATGTCAAGTTGAATTTTCTCCTTTTTTTTCAATTATTATGAATTTTTTACTGTAACAAAAAAAGATTTTTCAAGTTAGAAGAGAAGAAGAAAAAAACAAACACAGAAGAGAAGAAGAAGAAAAAGAAAAAACCAATTTTTTTTTTCAAACAGAAACAAAAACGTAAAGTATTTTATATATTTAATATTATTATTGTAAGAGAGAAAAAAAATATTCTTTTTGTTGTAGTAAATTTGTTTAATTAACTAATATTAGATTTACTTAAATATATAATTTATAAAAAATGTTAACTGTTGTTTCTTGTGTTTAGTTAAATTTTGATGTTTGGGTTAAATAAAAAAAAATTTTATGTATTCACTTGGGTTGATAATCTTGTGTAAGGGTAAGTAAGTGTTTAGTTTTTCAACTGGAAAAGTTTGCAAATGTATCGGTTTATATAGAGAGGAAAAGGTGAGCTCAACTCACTCACTCTTCTTTGGAGTGAGAATAGAAATAAACTGAATCGGGAGCAAGGGAGACGATTTATTGTCGTCAACCGACTCCATCTATTGGTAACCAGGGAAACTTTTTATTCGCAAAAATTTTGATCAACTTTTTGCTTTTCAAATTGCATTTAGCAACAAAACTAATCCATTATAATTTAGTTGGAAACAATTAACTCATTTTAATTTTGTTTTTCTCGCCTACTAATTAATAATTTTGTAATATGACTAATTGTCATCAAGAAATTTGGATAATCTAAATTTTACCAATGGGGAGGAAAAATTATCGGATCGATTTTTTTTCTTCTTCATCATCATTAAGCTTTTCAAGTTAATTACGCGGAAGTGGTGATACTAATTCACTTTGTTTATATGAATTGTGATGATGATGAAAGAGACGAAGATGATTACATGATAATGATGACGATGATGATGATCAAGGGATAAGATTGATTTAGTTAATCTTTGTGATTTTTGATCAATAACAAAGATTGACCTTAATCTTTAATCAACTAACTAGTACAACCGATTCATTAGTTGTTTGATTAACTGCAATTGGATTAAAAAAAAAACGTTTTTTTATCATCCTGGTCAGCTGATTTTCGTCTTCCTCACTCTCTTTCTCAGCAATATGAAAGGCAATTTAATCCACTTTCTATTGAAAATCAACTCTACATCTTACCCACCCCTTCACCACCCACTTTTTATCATCCTCTCTCTCTCTCTCATCATCATCATCATCATCATCATCTCACTAAATTTGAATGTCATCTTGGTTATAATTTTCTAGTTCTTTCATCATGATAAATTAACCACTCCCAGAACAAGGTCAACGCCATCATAATCTTCAATAAGGCTCACAATCAACAACAATTAACTACAATTAATGGTGAAAAAATCCCTCATGATACAATTTTAAGGTGAAAATTTCAAGGTAATTGCACATTAAGACACCGATATTGAGAGTAACCTTTGAGATAAATGTTCAACTAATCATTAGAAAAGTGAAAAGACAATTAACAATCAATGGTAACCATTACAATCGGATGTTCATTGAGAAAAAAAATTTATTTGATCATCATCATCATCATCATCATCTGCTTCCGAACTGCCTTTGGCATCGATGATGATGATAACAACATATTGACAACGACTCTGTTTACCTCTCCCCATCATCCGCATCATCATCATCATCATCATCATCATCTGTTTGTATTAATTTGAGAGGGAAAGAAACGTCAAATGTGTCACCCGACAATTTGATCAACCATTTACAACGGTAAATCCAAACAATTAGCACCCAAAGAAAGTAAATTAAACATTTCAAATGCAAACTAAAATAATCAACTGTCACAATTAAGCTTAATTGACATCAACTAATTGTACAGTTAGTTAATCAACTAGACTTACCCTAAATGTGTAGATATACAAAAAAATATATTACATATAAACCTAAACAATTTAATTGATCAACCAAAGCTCAAACTTGAATCTCCCAAACCAACAACAACAATTAACATTAAAATTGAACAAGAAAACTTAATTATCCTCCCAGAGATATTTGTTATCATCTTACTGGGTCAAAGTACATGCAAGGTCACTCATCATCCTCATCCTCATCCTCCTCATCATGATACAGAAAATGTTTTCATATAATTACAACTTAATGGGAATAATTTTTACACAAACCATTGGATTCACTTGGATAAATTTAGTAATGAATATGAACCATTGAGAAATATTATCATGCTCATTTACCGAGAGTTACATGTGACAGAGTAAAAAGTTATCATCCATAATTATGATTCCATAATGATGATAATAATAGTAAAAGTCACTAATGTTTATCATCCATTTATGAAGAGGGAGAGAGAGAGAAAAAAAAATTCACAGAGAAGAAGAAAAAAAAAGTTAATAATATTTAATGAAATAATTTTTTTCGCCTTTTCAGTAACATAATAGTAATTTCGCTCTAATGTAATATCATCATCTTCTTCTTGGATGATGAAGATTAAGATGATGATTTGCCTGAGAAAAATACTCTCTCTCTCTCTCGAACTGGACTCTCTCACTTTATCCATACATAAATACAAGTAAACCTGATGTTATTATATCAACATTAGTAAAAGAAAATTTTTTTCTGGTTACCTTGTAAACATATTAGACATTTAAATGTATTTACACGCATTTACCTGGACAGGTAAATATACTAATAATTTCACACACACTGAAACATTTCATTAAACAAGAAAAAAAAGGTAAAAATGTGAAAGAGGAAAAAATTTTTCTCCACAGAATATCCTTCATCTTTATCATCTTGTCATCTCTTTCTCTCTCTCTCTCTCTACTTATTATTATTACCTGAGTAACGCATCGAAATGGATTCTTACCTTTTCATCCTTAAATTTGAAGCTCATCATTGATGATTCTTTTCATTGAAGAAAAAAAAATAATATTCTTATCTTAGTTTTTTCTCCATCTTCATCTTCATCTTCATCTCTCTTCTCTTTCTATTGCTCATCTATTTTGAACCTTTTCTCTTTCTCTCTATTTCTCTCCATCGCTCTAAGGTGTTTCTTACCTTTGCAAATATTCAATAGTATTATTATTATTGTCGTCTATGTAGAAAACCATATGGGAACAAGATTAAAGGTAAATCGTCATTGAATATCTACCTAAGGCTTTTTGTCAAATGAATCAAGGATACACATCATTCATGTTGCTCAAGTTTTCTTGTTGTTTGTGAGTGAAAGGTAAAGCTTTTCATGTTGTTAAGCTTAGTGATTTTGTAAAGGTAACTCTCTCTCTCTCTCTCTCTCTTCCCCAGATAAGTTTTGGCCTACCCTAGGTGGGTAGAAGAGCGAAGCTAACAACAGTATAATAAAAGTCCATGGTATTATCATTTTAATAGGAGAAACTATTGGAAGAGAAAATTTTTTTTCTATTGAACAAAAAGAGAAAATTGATAAATCTCTCTTTCTGTGTTCATTTTCTTCTGTTTCCGTTTCAGTGGACCTTTTTTATTATGTCTTCGTCTTTACTTTTTCATCCTTGATCGGTAGTAAGATCGATTCGAATTGATCATTTCTCTCTTCGTTAAATTGATCGATTTTGCATATGAATTTTTCTCCTCTCACTCTTTTATTCAAAATGTTAAGAATCAATTATTGACTTTTGAACTTCAAGTGATAATTATTGATAATCCATGATGATGACCAATGAATCCATGCCAATAACAATAATTTTCCTGTTGTTATTTTATTTTATTTAAGGAAAAACAATAGTTAATAAAAAATTGTTACACTCCATTTACGGAAATGGTAGATGTTAATATCACACCGGAAGTTTAGCTTATTTCTTACCTTGTTTCCGGTGCTCAGCAGATTGTAAACTAACTGATGGTAATAATAATGATCAAGGGTGAACAAAATGAAATCATATCTAATAAACTATTCTGATAACTTTTGACTCTTGAGAAAAAAAAACTTTCAAAGTCAACATTATCAACGATATAATTTACAGGTAAATAAACGGAAAGAGAGAGAGAGAGAGAGAGAGAGAGAGAGAGAGAGAGAGAAAAGATGAAAAGAAACTGAATTATCATCAACAAGGATCATTAGGAAAGTCATAAAAGGCCTGTAATCAGCTGTTGATGCCGATTGTTATTGTTATTTACCTGGTGGAGGTGGAGGATAAATATAATGATAAAGATGAAGGTAAATAAATGTAACAAGGCCAAAGCATCGTGATCATATTATCATCCCAATGGATAAATTATTAGAATCAATTTTTTTCTTCATTTTCTTTATCAACTTAATCTACATCTTAATCACGATGAAATGATTTGTAATATGATTGAATCAATTTTCAGTCATTAAATTGTATTGTAAATGATTACAATCTATTATTATTATTAAACCTTTAAACCAATTTGATTACTCTGGTAATTGTTTTCATCTTAATTAAATGGTAACAATTTTCAATTGAATTAAAAGTCATCATTAAAAAACAACAACACGTTCAATTTGAACTTGAAGTGAACTTTTTTTGCGCCTTTTCTTGAATTCTAATCTGATCTGATCATATATTATAAAGCTAATTGTGTAATATTGTTTGGTGCTTGTTAATTAGTATGATAATCAGTATGAATTAAGACCAATCCTTGATATTTTAACGCTGTTATATTATCGTTTTTGACCTAATTTTCATTAATCATCATCGTAATCTAATGTTACAGTTTATTATTTGAGGCTCACAATGAGTTTTTTTTTTAATCAAGGAACATGATTTTGTTGGTGATTATATTGTGTTCAAATTGTTGTGTTAATCATGAACACAATTTAAAAAGGTAATAAGCTAATGGTTAATCACAGTGTAATCATCATCATGATGGTAATAATAATGATGATAATGATAAATTGTATTAGTAAATTGTTACCGTTGATTATAAGAAGATGTTGTTGTTGTTGTTGATCATCATCATGAAAAGTGCCTCAAGGAATCATCATCATCATCATCATCAGTAAATCAAATGTAAAATTATTGATAATGTCCACAGATTAGAAAGAAGGCGAAAAAAGGGGGAAGGATAAGGTAGATGGACAATCAGGATGACCAGAAGAAAAGTTTTCTTCAACCGAATATTATTCAGTTAATCACGAAAAAGAAAAAGAAGAAGAAAAAGTTTTTTTCTCTTTCAAGGTAAACCTTATATTCCTCCTCCTCTGTTGATGATGATGGTTTTTTTTGAACAGAAAAAAATAACAGCCAATGATGATGATGATGATTGTTGCTTTTTGGAAGAAGTAAAATCAGAGAGAAAGAAAGAAAGAGAGAGAGAGAGAGAGAGAGAGAGAGAGATTTTCTTCTTTCCAATCATCGCCTTCTCTCTGAAAACCTTTTTTAGTTTCTTCCAA